GTGTGTGTGTGTGTGTGTGTGTGTGTGTGTGTGTGTGTGTGTGTGTGTGTGTGTGTGTGTGTGTGTGTGCGCGCGTGTGTGTGTGCGACTGTGCGTGTGTGTGCAGGTGCGTTTGTGAGTGCGTTCGTGTATGCGTGCTGCGTGCTTGCATGTATACCTATATGTGTGCCTGTCGCAGGTGTAGAAATAAGGAGAGAAAAACGAGATGGTCCACGGGACCATCTAGTTTGAAATTAAGATGGTCCTCCTAAATTTTAGATGGTCCTATTAAATTTCAAATTGTTCTCTAAAAGTAATGCGGCGTGCAAGCATAAGAAAGAGATTTTACATGGTGATAAAATGGTTTAATTATTTACCTATATTACCAATGAATCAAGAGCTAATAATACCTAATAAAAGCTTGAATGAATGTATCAAACGATACAGTAATTGTTTATTCACTTTAATAGTATATTGGAACGTGGAAACTTCAAAGAAAATTACTACACCATCCATGGTCAGTATAGTGATAACCAATTCATTCGTTTTTCTTGAAGATGCGCGGCAACTACACAAAACATCGCGCCAAGAACAAACCCAGTAGACTTGTTTTACGAATTTGAACATATTAAATAAATCCTTTAACTTGACTGGACTGACTTTTATTTTGACTTCCAGACGTAGTTATAAAACAGCAACAGCAGCAGCAGCAACAGCAACAGCAGCAGCAGCAACAACAACAACAGCAAGAGCAGCAACAGCAACAACAGCAGCAGCAGCATCAACAACAACAGCAGCAGCCGCAGCAACAACAGCCGTACTGGGATGACGATGACACACGAGCGCAGGTGTTGCCCCCTAGCGGAGGGATCATCAAGGAGAACCGGATCCTCGCTAAGCTACTCGCGCGCCCTCTACAGGTCATCAGCGGCATCAGCATCAGCAAGCTCGCCCCCTCGATGCGCGACCACAGGACGCTGCAGCGCTCCTACAGGGGGCGCTACCTCGTCAATCCCTACAGTGACCGACATCCCCAGTACGCGACCCTCCTGAGTGACGTCACCCCTCTTATTCGGAAGCCAGCGGACCGAGGGGCGTGGCCCGGACCTCAGGACGTGGAGAGCGGGAGGCAGCGGGAAAGCACAGGAGTGTACGGCTGGAAACGTGGCCACCAGCAAGATTCGGGGCTGGGCGGACATCGGCAGCGGAAGGTGCACCGCTGGGGGTTTGACTCGCCGGAAGAGGCGGCCGTGGGCGAGACAACACGTGACATGTCGTTTCTCCCGCCAGAGTATAGATGGCAGCACGCGCAGCGCTGGTACGACGCGACCGGCCGCGAGGTGGCACCTGAATCGCGAGCAGACGTCGCCGTGACTCATCCGGCCGTGGCGAGGAGCAGCGCCACCATCGGCGAAGAAAACGCGAGGCGCGGGGGCGCCACGCGTCACGAGTTCGCCATAGCGGGATATATAAATTCGTCTGCTGATACGGATAAGGACAGGCGCAGACTAAAAGTGAATACTGCGATAGAAACCCTGACCAGCAGAAATAAAGCATCAGCGGCTGGAGAGACAATCGTATCTACAGTGGCGCCATCTATCGCAGTGACGGCGAATACTTTTAACAACGGTGATAGAGGGAGGCACTACCCTCTGCCAGGGGCGAGACCATCTTCTAAAACACTAGGTACATGATATAGTTGTTGTCACGTCTGTTGCTGCACAGCAAACGTGGACACGTTTTATTCGTGAAAGAGCTATTATGCGCGAGACTACCCCCAGTGAGAAAAATTGATTTAGCTAAACAATAATATGACAAATAACAAGTTTTTCTTACGTGCTAAATGTGACAGGTATAACGCAGATACTCTTGCAAACTAACCATTTTGTCCCACATGTGCATTTTCTCTTCTGATTTCTCTAACAATTGCGTTAATTGATGTTTCTCGCAGCGCTGGCGGTGCCGTGTAACAGAGACACCTGCAAATTGCCTGATTGCCGCTGCGTTGGTGCCGACATACCTGGTAACATTTCGTCGGCTCAGGTGCCACAGATGGTGCTCATCACGTTTGATGATGCCGTCACGATGCGGGCATACGACATCTACAAGGTAGGAAGCAGAAAAGTATCGAGCGGGATCGATAGATGGCAGCACTACTACTTCTGCACTGTTCTTCAGTATGTAGTAAATAATCAGAATCGGACCGACGGAGGCCGGACAAAACGACAGACGTACGGACGGGCGGACAGACAGACAGATAGATGGACGGACGGGCGAACGGGCGGACACAGACAGACAGACGGACAGACAGATAGATGGACGTGCGGACAGACAGACAGATAGATGGACGGGCGGGCAGACAGACAGATGGACAGACAGATAGATGGACGGACGGGCGGACGGACAGACAGACAGACAGACGGACAGACAAATAGATGGACGGACGGACGGACGGACAGATAGAACGACAGACGTACGGACGGATTGACCGGCGAATGGACAGACGGACGAACGGACGGACAGACAGACAGACAGCCAGACAGACAGCCACGCACACACAGACAGACAGACAGACTGAATAGATAGCTGAAGTGATGTAGCACGCTGGAAGAGCTATAAGTCGCTTACTCTTCTTCCTCTCGGCGCAGAAACTGGTCGGAGAGAGGCGGAATCCGAACGGCTGTCCGATAGCGTTCACGTTCTACGTGTCGCACAAGTACACCGAGTACAGCGCAGTGCAGAACCTGTACGCGATGGGCCACGAGATAGCATCGCACTCCATCACGTAGGTCATATACGGAGCTAGTCCGCCTCCTAACGTTGCTCCCTCTCCGTCTATGTCGCGCTCTCTCTCTCTCTCTCTCTCTCTCTCTCTCTCTCTCTCTGTCTGTCTGTCTGTCAATCTATCTCTCTTTCGCTCTCGCTCTCTCTGTTGCCGCGCGCGCGCGTGCGTGTGTGTGTGTGCGTGCGTGCGCGCGTGCGCGTCTACCTGTCCCTCTCTCCCTTCCTCACACATAGCGCTAGACCTACGACCCCCTGCAGGTAGGTTCAATACAGCTAGAACATTAACAAGCCTTCTAAAAACACACAGGTAACTCTGTAATTGTCCTGTCTGTGTCACTGGCTAGTGTCTATAGTGGCTCTCCACGCCCCTTGTCACTCACCCTACAATCACCCAGCCTGTTCTGCTAGCATCTATGACAAATACGACATACACATATACGCTGTCCTATGACACTAATTGTCATCTAGGAAGATTCTTCCTATGACAAATATTGTTGTATGTGTTGTGCGCATCATAGGAGTTTAGGAGCGCTATTATGAACGCAAGCAGTGAATTTCAGCTGTAAAGCGGAACGAAGTCGACTCGCCAATATTTGTCATAGGAAGAATCTTCGTATGTCGTATTTGTCATAGTCACTCATAGATGCTAGCAGAACATGTTGCATCACCGCATGCTTATCGCGATTTACTTGTTGGCAAAATCGCATAATCAATGAATGAACCATCATCATGAATGTAAATCGTGAGCTCGGGCTGACGTTGATGGCAGTGGCGTAGCCAGGATTTTTTAACAGGGGGGGGGGGCAAAAACAGCGAACTGCGCAGAATAGTGGATGACTTAATATTTTAATGGTTCCTCCGCCTCCCGCTCCACATCCTACGCTCTCCCACCTCTCAGCTCTACAATCTTTGTTATGGGCGCCATGCAAAGAGGCGACATTTTTATTCATTGTTCTCTGCTCCCAAGATAAGTAAGTGGCAGATTCAGGATTCCAAGGAGGAGTGGGTAAAAACAAGCGGGTGGTAAGGGGGTTCTCCCCAAGAAAATTTTGAAAATGTAGATCGCAGGAGATGGTATTTGAGGCACGTTTGAGTAAATGTACAGCCTTCATTCTGACTACGACAGTTCTCTTTTTAGTAGAACAATTCTTATTTCCTTTTTTTTTTACTTTCGGGGCCATGGCCCCCTTTGGCCCCCCTAACTACGCCACTGGTTGATGGTCAGCCTGGCGGTCAAGCGCTTGACCCTGTTCTACGGAGTTTGAACTATGGTTACATGTTCCAGCAATACTCCATGCTGGAGCGGCCGCGAGCAACGCCGTTCCGCTGTTCTGCTCATGAACAATGTTGTCGTTGTTCTGCCGAAATAGGAATGTTCCGCATTAGTCTAATGTTATTGTTGTTCTGTTGGATATTGCATTCATATACACACGTGCTCATTATTATTCAGACATCAAAATGTTACGGTGTTTAAATAATGTAATTGTTATCGTTGTTCTGCTGACATCGAAATGTTCCGCTGTTCATTTTATGAACGCTTTATCGTTGTTCCGCTGAACTAGAAATGTTTCATTTTTGCAATAATGAACATTTTATAGTTGTTCTGCTGTTAACGAAAAGTTCCGTCGTTGAAATAATGAACGTGCCATCGTTGTTCCGCTGATAACGAAATGTTCCCGCTGTTGAACTCACGCTTACGTTCGCATTCGTTGTCGCACAGACACCGCACGCCGAGTCACTGGTGGAAGCGAGTCGGCACGAAACAATGGAACATGGAGATAGGCGGAGAGCGCGACATCATCGCCAACCTCAGTGGCGCCCCCACGCGCGACGTGTCGGGCATGCGCGCGCCGTTCCTCTCCGTCGCCGGCGACGCGCAGTTCTCGGCGCTCTGGGACGCTGGTTTCGTGTACGACTCATCTATCTCCACCATGCGCACAGCGCCGCCTATCTGGCCGTACACGCTCGACCACGCGCTCGACCGGCGCACCTGTACAGCCGGATGTCCGGCCCGCTCCTACCCGGGCCTGTGGGAGGTTCCCATGGTAACGTTCGCGGGCCGCGACGGTTACCCATGCGCCATGGTCGACGGCTGCCCGGCGGCCGGGTCGCGCGAGCGCACCCTGGCGGCGCTGCGCAAAAACTTTCGCGCGCACTACGACAGCAACCGCGCTCCGCTGCCGCTTTTCTTCCACGTCGGCTGGTTCTGGTCGCGCGCTAACCGCCTCGGCTTCCAGGACTTCGTCGACGAGATCCTCGCGCTGCCCGACGTCTGGCTCGTGCCGACGCGCCAGGCGATCGAGTGGATTCGGCGCCCCCTGACGGGCAAAGTCCTGCTCGGCGACGACTCGCCGTTCGCGTGCGATCGTCTGCCGAAGATGGCGATGTGCGAGCGGCCGCACCACTGCCGCTACACGGCCGCTAGCGGCGAGGTGATTGTGATGCAGACGTGTGCAGCGTGCCCACGAGACTACCCATGGGTGCGCCAGCCAGCGTAGCGGGGGGAGGGGAAGAGGGTGTGGGGGAGTTATGTATGCGTGCGTGCAGAGGTGTGTGCGCGAGCGTGTGCGTGTACGTGCGTGTGCGTATATATATATATATATATATATATATATATATATATACTATGTGAAGAAATTCAGATGCTGATATCAAACTGTATTTAGAGATTTCATGTGATTTAAAAACTAGGAGTTACAATTATAAATATATGTGATAATTATGTATGCGTGCAAACAAGAGTACGTATGTATGTGCGTGTAAATGCGCGCGTGCGTGTGGTGTTACCAGAACATGCCATAAAGCTTAATGAATTTAAAGTATTTGTATTTTTAGAGACCAATGTGCTCAATCTTGACTTGCCAAATATTTAAGCTTTTGAGTATTCTGAATTATTTATACTAATACTCTGTAAATCAAGTTTTAGTAGCATAGATTTTGTATCACTATGTATGTACATGTATGTGATTTGTAAAGGTAAACAAAGCATTTGTGATATGAAATGCAGGGAAAAGGCATCAATTCTTGTAAATTTGATTTGACAAAAGGGTAGGGAGGGGCGAGGATATCGCCCCATATATAGCATAGGCATCTAAAGAAATATACATATACACGCACACATGCGTGCATAGATGCACGAACGCACACACACACACGGACATACACATATTATGCACACATGCATGCGCACGGGCACACTGACTAGTATATATATAGTACACCTAGTATATATATATATATGTGTGTAACGAATTTCGGCCTATCGCATCGGCACATCCCCGCATTCTACTCCCTGCGGTATGTCCCCGCATCCCCCCCCTCCCCCGGGGGTGGAGGCCTCATCCCCGCATGCAGGAGCAATGTACACGTGCTGGACACGAGCTTGTAATGTGTCGTGCTCATGACACTGAAGCCGACGTGCGTCACGACTGAAGCCGACGTGCGTCATGACACTGATGCCGACGTGCGTCACGACTGAAGCCGACGTGCGTCACGTCTAAAGCCGACGTGCGTCACGTCTGAAGCTGACATGCGTGTCACGTGTGAAGCTGTCGGGCGTGTCACGTGTGAAGCTGACGTGCTTGGCTACCTCGTCCTGACGCATGATTGGCGGGGGTTGTAGCCGTACACACGCCCCGAGGGGTATATAATCCCCTCCTCGCGGCAGCTCTTCCCTCATCTCCAGGCCGACTGACCAGTCCCTAGCTAACTGGCTGACTGCCTAGATATCAGCCTGCATGCTGGTGGACTGACTGCCGATGCTCTGGAGAGCGCAGTATATTACACTGCGCTCTCCAGAGCATCGGCAGTCAGTCCACCAGCATGCAGGCTGATATCTAGGCAGTCAGCCAGTTAGCTAGGGACTGGTCAGTCGGCCTGGAGATGAGGGAAGAGCTGCCGCGAGGAGGGAGTACACAACGCAAGGTACAGCACTGTGACCATCTGGTGTGTCGTCTTGGTAAAGCATAGTGCCTTGTTACATCTGCTTATTATACTCGGGCGTTACGCTGCGAGGAGTATTGCACCGTTTTATGCTTACCCTGGTCTGCTGACCAGGGAAGAATAAAAGCCCCGGGCCTACTCCCGGCGTGAACACTTTTACTTTTGAGTTGTGTTGTTTGTCCTTGTGTTGACTCGTACAATCTAGTGGTCGAACAGTGGGAGCGTCTCGCGTGACGGGGAATAATAGGAGGTATATAAAATCGACCTCAACATCAACTTATGCGGTGCGTATCAAAGCAATAATACACTATATTCCCACCAGGTGGCCGACTCTTTTCTAAGGCAAAAGCTCTTCGTGGATTTTTGCACCAAGGAGAAATTCACATTTTACATTATTTTTCTGTTTAGGGTTAGGGTTCACAATGCGTATACATGTGTACACATGAGTATTATAGACCCGAGCGATCCCGAAGTTGCGCCCTACTACCGTTCGACCATTTCCGGAAAAATGTGTATTTCTCCTCGGTTACTCGGTACACGATTCCTTTTCGTGTGTATACAGTACGTCGTGACTGATGTTTGCAGGGCCGTAGGCAGAGCAAATTTCTAGGGGGGGGGGCAGTGGCGGATCCAGGATTTCAAAGAGGGGGTGAGAAACAGGTGGGGGTCTGGGGGTCCTCTCACAGAACATTTTGAAAATGTAGATCGCAGCTAGGAGATGGTATTTGAGGCACTTTTGAGTACATGTAGGAAACCTTCATTCTGTCTACGACAATTTTCTTTTAGTAGAACAATTTATTCTTTTAATTTTGCTCAAAAATCTAGGGGGGCAGCTACCCCCCCCCCAAGCTACGGCCCTGGTTTGTGTGCATGCGCAGAGACATACCCTACTGTAAGCCAATACAAAAAGAATAAAGTCACAAAAAAGGTTAAGAACAGTTATTTGTCTGAGAAAAAAGGTCACAAACGTCTCGACTTGAAATAACATTTTCCTGCAAAGTGCGAGAAATACAAAACAGGATATACGATTTAACGCGTTTGCCAACAAGGAAACAGGGATTCCGCATCCAGAAAGAGAGTGCTAGGGAGAGGCTGCATCCAGGTCTTGGCTCTGGACCCTTACTGACGCTGAAGGGGTCGTTGTCGTATCAGGTACTACATATGTACGCGAGGTACATCTATGTATACACAAAGTGTACCAGACTTGTACTACAGAAGTGTACCCTAGCTAACCCTAACCCTAACCCTAAACATACCTCATATAAAAATATAAACATAATACTAAATAACCTAAAACTACCTCGGGTACATATATGTAGTACCTGATACGACAACGACCCTTCGTGCCTTACTGACTATTGCCTGCGGCCTATGGTAAGGTTTCTACAGACACTCTCCCTGTAACACCTCTATTTTCAACTCCTGCCCTCTGATGGGAGAAACAAACGATTATAATTCAGTTGACGCACCCACCACATTTCTATATTTCAACCATCTATATTGTTAATAGTAACAGCCTAGCAAGGCTGCAACTAATGATGATAAGTAGCTGAATATCTACTTAATTAACTAATTAATCTAATTATCTAATTAACGAAGCGAACATGACAACGCGTACACATACGAATACTAAGAGATACTCTGATGACACATGAACAAACCTTGTTTTCTCTCACGCATTGTAGTACACACTCAGATAATTACTATGCTGATGCTGGGCTGACATGCTAGTGTGGACAGATAGTAAGGCTGAAGGGGTCGTTGTCGTATCAGGTACTACCATGGGCGTAAATCCCGGGGGGATGGGGGGGATGCATCCCCCCCGCTCTTGAAGGAGGGGGGATGGCCTGTACAAATATCCCCCCTTGAGACTAAAAAAAAACTCCTTCCCAGGGGTAGAAATAAGGACAATATGGAAGTTAGCCCGAAGGAAGGGCTAGTAAGGTAAGGTTTGTACTAGCCCTTCTGGTTTTCAACTAGCCCTTAAAAGCATGTCGATAGTGGTTGCGCGGGAAAATTGTTGATCTCACGAATGCTCCGAGATGCTTTCTGAGGGTATTGTGTATTGTTTATATTGTGTATATATTGTGTATTGTTGTATTGAGAGGTTTGTTTATTTACAATCATTTTATTATTAAAACAGCCAGAGTGACTGTGAGTGTGACTATAACACTGTATTAGTGGAACAGGTCTTCGATGATGGAGGTTGCCATGTTGATACCAACGCTATAGACGGGTCCCCCGACACTCTACATTGTGCTATTACAATGAGAAGGAACGCATGA